GCTCCTTGAGGAGCCCTCTCAGCCTCCCGAGTAGCTGGGACTACAGGCACACACCACTGTGCCTGGTTAATATCTTTTTTTGTAGAGATGGAGTCCCACTTTGTTGCCCAAGCTATATTTATTACTTCATTCATTTCTTAGAGGAAACTTATGAGGAAGGTAATATTACCCTCATTTTACTGAACAGGAAATTGAACAGCTGGATAATTTGTGGAAGGTTTAAACTTAGATCTGGCAATTCCAAAACCCAGCCTCTTTCCTTCACATCTAGAGTATGAAATTAAAAGACTTTTCTGCTCCTGCTGGCTTAAAATCTAGAGCAATGAGAGGATCTTAAAAAGTGGAGGCAAAGAGAAATAAGAAGTTCACAGGCCCCCTGGAGAATACGGGTTCTTTTTCAGGGGGAGAAAAAAAGGAACATTTACACACAAATGCACAAATTCTTATATGCAATTTCTTAGGTTTCAGCTCCCAGGTTAACACGTCTTGTTTTAAGACTGAGAAGGGTAATGTAGAGAAAAAATCAAAGAGATACATTTTTTAAAAATTTAAGCCAAATCGTAAACATGTTTCACAAACAGTTATAATTGTCTGAAGGGAAAAATAATTTACAGAGTAAATAGAGATAAAGTGAAGGGGAAAAAAGTCATAAAGGACTGATTTCAAAACATTTTATATGTCGGTCATGGTGGCTCATGTCTGTAATCTCAGTTACATGAGAGGCTGAGGCAGGAGAATCGCTTGAACCCAGGAGGCAGAGGTTGCAGTGAGCCAAGATCACGCCACTGCACTCCAGCCTGGGTGACAGAGCCAGACTCTGTCTCAAAAAAAAAAAAAAAAAAAAAAATGTATAAAGTTTGAGCACTTCTTTTTTTTTTTTTTTAATGAAAGAAAATTTGGTAATTCTCCCAATCCAATCCAACACTACTAAGAGTTCACTCATTCAATAGCTTGGCTGGATTTTAGAAACATAAATTATTTCATGACAACTAATCACTCTTGTAGCCAAGAGAACAAGGGTAAATAGAGGAAAGTTATCAAAAGTGAGGTTTAGTGGCAACTCCCAATAACCTATATGGGTAAAGCCAAAATCAAAAATTACCCTCTACATGAATGGGCACAGGATAGGCCAGGTCATCCAGCATCAGAACTCCCGTTTCACTTCCAAGAACACACTGTAGGCCACTGTTCCATAAGTGTCCTACCATTTGCAAATTCATCTCAATGTGCACACAGCGTGATAAATACTACTCAGTTTCTACAAAATCAGACAAAGGCAAGCAGGTACTTGAAGCACATTTAACTTTGCACGTCTTGGATACGTGTAGAGTTAAAAGATAGTCCTAGCTTCATTTAACTGCAACCTTGACCTCCTGGGCTCCTTGAGGAGCCCTCTCAGCCTCCCGAGTAGCTGGGACTACAGGCACACACCACTGTGCCTGGTTAATATC